GGGGATGGAGGTGGAAGAGGGTATGGGGGAATAAATGGTGATTGGAAAAATAAAAATAAGAACCTCGATCACAAACTGGATAATTAACTTTTAAATTACAAAGATTTGAAAATTTTAATTTTAGGTCAGCCTCTAGATTAATAAGAAGAAGATTAGAAAGCCCTGGCCGGTGTGGCTGCGTGGTTAGAGCATCAGCTCCCAGCACCGAAGGATGGAGGGTTCGATTCCTAGTCAAGGGCACGTATTGGGTTGAAGGTTCCATCCCCAGCCCCAGTTGGCACGTGTGCAGTTCACACATTGGTGTTTCTCTCTCTCCCCCTCATCCCTCCCTCCCTTTCACTTTCTCTAAAAATCAATGGAAAAAATGTCCTCTGGTGAAGATTAACAACAAAATGATTGAAAGAATGAAAACAAGAAGAGCAATAGATTTAGAGATGTCTGGCGTAGGATGAAAATATAAAACTAGCTCCAAAATGTTTTGATTACTTTAAATAATTTCTACTTAAAAACAATTCTTTCTATTAAAATATTTTAAATATTTTCCATATTTAATTCAAAGGCATCTTTTTCTAAACTGTAATAAGAATTTCAGTTAACTTTTGTCAACTTTTCTACATGTCAGTTAGCATACACCAGTGAAGAAGGCAGTGTTCAGACCCGGATAGTGGGTTCGAGAGGCAGCGCTCCTGGTTATTATGCTTCACCGCCTTCCTACTCATGTCCCACGGATGGTACCAGTACCAAAGGATATCCTTTGGTGCAACAGTTATGTCAAGAAATGATTGATGAGTTCCTCAGTACCGTTTGTTCCTCTATACCATTTGTCTAGTATGCATTATGGAGAGCCTTTTCTTCTCGAATTGCTGGGAACTATATCTTATTTAATGTTTTGAAGTAGAAATCACATTAAATGTCAAAACTCGTGTACTAGCTACCTGCTAAAATAATATTAAAATTTCTCTTAATGTCCACATTTTATATTTAAGCTGTATACAGTTTAAATCCGCGCCCCCGCCTCCTCCAATTTTGGTTTTAGCACGGTTGGTTCCTGTGCCCTAGAGTTATTACCAAGGAAACTCAGTATATACTTTGCTACATAAGGGCAGATTCCACTGGGATTCCAGTTGGAACCCCAAAAGGGAGCATTTGTTCAGAAGGTATCATTAGTGTTGGCATCTTTGCGAGTACTTTAGAGCTCTAACATTCTCTTCTTAAAAGCCACCGAATATTTCATTTCATGGATGTGCCATGTCTGCTCGCCTGTTGATTTCTATTTGTAGTTTTTTGTTTTATAAACATTTGGTAATGACTGTCCTTAAACATTCATTCTTAGCTATTCAAAAATGTGTTGTTTTTAGAAGCCTCACTATTTCTTCATCATCTAACTTGTAATACATTTTAGCTATAGAGAAACTGATAGAATCTGTACCGTAAAGTGAGAACATTACCTTGGGAGGGAAAAAGATGAGAACAATGGTCCCTGTGCTCAAAGAGCTAATAATCTCTGGGCTCTTGCATAGAGATTTTTGATATTTTTGTTATAGTTACATTTAGCAATGGCTTGACTCCATTCGTTTCCCCTTCAGTTTTTATGAGCTCCCCACCTAAATAAACACCTTTATCCAGGAAGTGTTTCAAGTACAAAAATTGGGCTTTAACTATTTGGTAATGTGAAATTAAAGCCCAGTAATGCAGCTTAAGCTGCATGAGGCTCTGTTGTCTAATTAGCATGTCCAATTAAATCATACATTGTATTTAGGATAGTTAATGAAGCTTATAGTGACCGGTTTTTATAAGGAAATAATTAATTTTTTTTACTTTCTAGACTTACGTAAATTAAATTATGTATTTAAGTGGAATGTGGTAGACAGCTAATTACTTAAGGAAATTGAAATTTTTCAACAAGGGATCTTCATTATGTGCATTATTTATTAAATGGGCCTCTAGGGAAGTTGGGGGAGGTTAAACTCTTTGAAAAATGCTGTTTCCTGTCATATGGTATAAAAAGCAAAAGCAGTTGGTACTTAAAGGTTTTTAAACTTAGATATTCGTTTTCATGGTATAGTTAACCTTTATCAATGGGAATTAAAACTTATCAACAAGGGGGTTTAGAATATTTATTAATTATTAATGTGCCATTACAGAAGCTTTGGGGGCAGAAAAACAAATTTAAAAACACACACGGAGACTCCTCCATGCCTAAGACATAAAGGACAAATGGTGGCGTGCAAGTTTCACCTATGGTTATGTGATAACTAATCTTTCAGTGAGGGAGCATCTGTGTGAAGTTGTTAGAGGTGATAATGAGAGAGCATGAAGGGACCCTGAGTGTTGCAGGATGAAAACAGTAGGAAGATCAGAGCAGTAGAATAAAACTAAATGTAACTCAAAATAAATACGCTGTTCAAGCTCCCTTTGATTGATGGATTTTGAGAACATTAGTGGTGAGGGTAGGAGCTGGGGATGGAGTGGAATCCCAAATATCTAGCCAGAGTTATTCATTAGCTGTTGGTCTAAACCCAAGACAGCAATTGTATGGCATTTTGGTTAATAAAGTGTGATGCTGAAGTAGCATTGGTGGATATCTGTTCGTTTCAGACTAATATCACAGACTTGCTGTTTTTTTTTTTTAAAGATGTGCACATTTATTTATTTGTTTAATCCTTACCCAAGGATATTTTTCCATTTCTTTTTAGAGAGAGTGAAAGGGACGGAGGAAGGCGGGGGGAGAGAGAAACATCAATGTGAGAGAGAGACATTGATTGGTTGCCTCCTGCATGCGCCCTGACTGGGCTGGGGATCGAAACTGCAACCCAGGTATGTGCCCTAACCCGAGACCCTTTGGTGCAAGGGCTGATGCTCTAACCACTAAACCACACTGGCCAGGGTATATGCATCACATTTAAAAAATATATATATCTTTATTGATTTCAGAGAGGAAGGGAGAGGGAGAGAGAGATAGAAACATAAATAATGAGTTATTGATCGGCTGCCTCCTGCACACCCCCTGCTGGGGATCGAGCCCGAAACCGGGGCATGTACCCTGACCAGGAATCGAACCCGATCGCCTGGATCCTGGGTCGATTCTCAACCGCCGAGCCACGCCCGGCCGGGCTATGCATGACATTTTATTGGGTCATGGAATGCATCATCTTGGTTTAGATTTCTGCAACACTGACATGTCTTGGTCAATGACAAAACTCCTAATTATTATCCAAAGTGGTCACCCCAAATAGATTGATTTATGATATCTAGATAAAGAACTCGTTTTCTTATTGATTATTACTGTGTGAGGACTGATCATGTTGTGTCTTGGTAAGAAAACTTAATCACAAGTTCCTTTTTAAAAAAAATTTAAAAAATATGTATATATATAAATGACTTTTGGCAGTTCATAATCCAAGTTCTTTTTTTAGTTAATTCCAAAGATACATGAAACACTGTTTTCTTAGTGGGTATTTTCTCATATACTTTGCTACTTAACAAAGTTTAATGCATTTAAGCTTTAAAATTAAAAAATTTTTATTTCAAGCTGTTTTCAGGCAGCTTGGGTATTTCAAGATAAAAGATAGCTTTGTTCCTAAGCTATCCTTTCCAGTCCTGGTGTTTATTTCATCCTTGTATGTCTGAAAGAGTAAAGCAGGACCAAATACAAATAGAATATTTAAAGGAGGTAATGGCTGCCAAAAAAAAAAAGCCAAGATTTTGCCAGATGTGTTGTTTCCCTTGAGGACAGAGATGAGAACACCTGATTGCAGAATTGAGACTCGGAGAGGTTAAGCAGTTTCTGGGATCACACAGAATACAGTCACATTCAAGCATGTTAGGTTCTGTGACCTTGGGTAAGGCCCATAAACCCCCTAACATAGTTTCCTCATCTGCAGAATGAGGAAGATATTAGCACCTACCTTTGGGCTTGATTTGAAGTTAAATGAGTTATGATGAAAAGTTTTGAACAGGGCATGGCACATAGTAAGTGCTCAATAAATGTCATCTCCTGGTTGGCTAACTCCTACTTGGTGTCTTTTTAAGTCTGGGTTGTCGTGCCTTTGTATCCTGCTTTTATATATTTCAGTTTAACAATCTCTATCTACAGCTTGGAGATCCAAACTGCTTTGAAACTTCAGTTTTTTAAATACATTTAATGGCAAAAGCTTACGTGATTTGAACTCATTTGGCGCCAGAACCTGACCTGAACTAACATGAAACTTGCTAGTCTATTTTTCCCACCTAGTTGTGAATGTGCTTACATCTTAACTACAGGAATACGCTTTCTTGCTTATGTGACATGCTTCCCCAGGGTCCATTTGGGGCACTATGTGATATTTGATGAACATACTTTTTTAAAATCTGCAAACTTCTGCCCTAGCTGGTTTGGCTCTGGTTAGAACATCGGTCTGCAGACTGAAGGGTCCTGGGTTCAGATACGGCCAAGGGCACATACGCCAGTTGCAGGCTCTATCCTGGTAGCAAGATACAAAAACAAAACTTAATGCCTATGCTACAGTTATAGCATCTCTAACTTCTGTTTTTCTCTCTTTTTAAAAATATGTTTTTATTGATTTTATAGCTAGAGGAATGGAGAGGGAGAGAGAGAGAGAGAGAAACATCAATGAGAGAATCATTGAGCAGCTGCCTCCTGCCCACCCCCTATTGGGGATCAAGCCCAAAACCCAGGCATGTGCCCTGACTGAGATTCCAGCCAGTGACCTCGTAGTGCATGGGATGATGCCGAACCAACTGAGCCACACCGGCCTGTTTTTCTCTCTTATCCATTCACCATGCAGCTCTAAATTTTTGGCTGATTTCTTGAGAAAGAAAGCCACATGGAATATGTGTTTATGGAATACTGAGGATGGGTAGGCAATTATGTATTTAAATCCCTCAATAAGAACGATCATAGCAACCTAATTCATTATGGGTTCAGGGTTTTTTGAATTTTACAGAGTATAGGAACTATAAATCAAGATTGCAAAGAGAAAAGTAAACATTTCAGATTTAATTATAACAACTTGAAATGAACTTTTCTGGTGAATAGACTTAGTAAGCAAAAGTAGTTTATCCTTAAGTTTTCAAAGTGCAATTTAAAATATTTTTTTTATATGCTTTCATGATTAGCATGAAAATTATTAGTAGCTAAGATATTTGTATTTCCTTGTCTCATGCAGATTGAAATAGCTGTTCACTAACACAGCAGTATAATTGTACAGGCTACATAATGCCTTGCTTTAGTAAAAATTCTGTGGGCATTTGAAGAAGTGGATGGAGAAGGCAGTTTGAATTATACTGTATTTTTTTCCATTTGGTTTAATAAATTGGCTTGGATACAGTGGCTCATTGGTATTTTTCGATATTTGTGACTGGTACAGCTGAACTTTTAAAGATAACTGATATGCTGCTTTCTGCTCCACTTACAATGCGTTCACTATATGCTAGTTACCTAAAATGTGTTAAATGAATCAGATATTCATGTTGAAAAAGAACTTAGTCAAGAAGTTACAGTAATTGAAAGAGCCCTGTGCTTATATCAAATAATTTCTGTTAAATTATTAGCTTAAAATTGTTTTATTCAGCAGTTTCAATACCACTTCAGAGTTGAAGTGAATGAAGGATGGTTACTTGAAAACAATTCTCATGGGAATGTGGCATTGGGATAGTCATTTTGGGCTCTAATTGTGACCTGAGGAGAGAGATAAACTGAGCCTTGTGCTTAGAGAAGCAGAGAAAGTTATTCTGTAGGAAGATGAAAAACAAAGATCTGAAAAGCAGGGCAATTAGAGAAGGAATACTACTAGTTTTCAGCCTCTGGTCTCTTCCCGAGGTGTAATATTCATGCCTTTTGGTTCTGTGACTCATCCTAAATCTTTAGAACAGATTTCCTAAATTTCTTAAGCTATTTCAGGTTAGCTTATTTACTGGAGAAGAAAGTGTCTTAGGTGACAGGGATATAGCAAACCAAGTCCCTGCATTAGGAGCTTATATTCTACTAGGAGGAAACAGACAACAGATGAGCAAACACATGCTAGGTGCTGTTGAGCCTTTGATGACCTAGGGCGGTGCCTAAGTGCTATCGGCGAAGGTCCCTCCGAGAAGTAATCTTTGAGCAGAAGGAAGCAAATGATGAAATCATCGGGGCGGGGGAGGGTAAGAGCATTTCAGGCAGAGGGAAGAGCAAGTGTGAGGACACTGAGGCCGCAGAGCCCACTTAGTGTGTTCAAGGAACATCAAGAAAGCTTTTGAGTGGCTGGACCGGAGTGAGCGAGAGAGAGAGTGATAGCCGAGGAGGTCAGAGGGGTATGTGTAAGAGTTTAGTAGGGCCCTGTAGTTCAAGCCAGGGGGTAAGGAGTGGAGTGGAAAATCATTGTAGGATTTAAAATAGAAGAGTGACTCGTGTTTTGAAAGAATCACTAGTTGCTATATTTAGAACAGACTAGACAGCGGTTGAAAGTAATAGAAAGACCAAGTGAGAGATGATGGTTTGGACCAAGGTGGTTCAAGTGGACATAATCAGAGTTGGTCAAACCCTGGATATTTTTTTGAAGGATTAACTGACATGCTTGGATACATGTGGGGTATGAAGGAAACAAGTTAAGGATGACTCCCAGGTTTTTGGCTTAAACAGTTGGAAGGATGGAATTACCATTTACTGAGATAGCGAAGATCTAAGGGTAGGGTGGGGTTCAGTTTTGAAGTATTAAGTTTGAGGTGCCTATTAGACATCTACGTGGGGATGTCTGTTGGTGCCCTATTGTAAAGTATTTCTCCCTGGACTCCTAGTACTAATTCTCTATAATTTAGTCTCGAAAACTACAACTCAGGATTTCTTTTCCATCCTCTGATCACATTCCACCATAAAATCCTTTATAAATAATCTAGATCTATATTTACTAAGCAAGTTTACATTCTAGTAATAATTGACTATCTCATTGAGGTTTCAGAAGGACCAAAAAAACCCCAGCTGTATGTCAATATTTTTAAAGTAGGTTAATATATAAATGGAGAACTGAATTAGTCTCTCTCTCTCTTTCTTATAGTTGCTTTGTGTTGTTAAGTTTGAAGTAAACAAATTCAAAAAATGAGTGAACTGGAACAGTTGAGGCAGGAAGCTGAACAGCTACGGAATCAGATCCAGGTAAGAGCAATCTTTCTCATTTTTTCAAAAAAATTTTAACACTTTTATTTAGTACCACTAATGAACCAGATTTGTTCATTAGATCATCAGTCCACAGATGTTAAATAATTTATAAGACAAGAAATGGTCAGTTTGTTTTTATCATACCTCTAAATAACTCTCCCAAAATAATTTCTAACAAATAGATATTTGGACTAATGGCCTCTGTGTCCCGAAGAAGTTAATATCATACATGTAATCCCTGCTGAAAGACAATTATAATTCTCTTCTTAGTCACACACCTGGAATCGTAGTTTGATTTTTGGGTGCAATACCACGAGGCAGATATTATCACATTGTAATATTCTAAAAATTATTCATCTCTAAAACATTAGATTGCAGAAAAACATTAAAAATTATTAGTGGCATAATAAAGACATGTCTGTCGTCTTTTACTCTTGGAAATCAACTCAAAACAGTAAAGAGCATAAGAAACAAATACAAGCTCCACCTGTAACAAAATTTGAAACTTCGTAATAGGATAGGGAAGAGTTGTCAGGTGTGGTGATGCCTCAGGGGGTGGGAAGGCTCTGAGAGGAGTTTCTGCAGCAGTAAATCTCATACAGAGTAGGTAGTGCTCCCTCTGGGACAACTCCAATAACCCTTTCTTTAGAACAGTGGGAACAGATGCTTCCCTGGGCTGAGGAGTATCAAGGTAGGCAGAGAAAAAATGAAAAGATATAGACGTGCCATCTTTTAGGAAGCCTCTTGTTGACAGGGTGGAGGAAAGAGGCTAGTTGTGTGTAGCCTGGTGCTGCTTGCTTCTTTTCACAGGGAAAAAGTAAGGGCTAAAACAACTTACAAATATAAGTGAAGAACTTTGGGATGAGGCAGGGGGAAGAATCTCTGATAACCTGGACCACTGCTGTGGCCCTCTCCAATGCAAACTTTTTGCAGTAAGCATTTCAGAAGAACTCATCTAATTTAAGAGTGAAGAGTGAGAAAAAAGGAACAAGCACAGGCTCTCTACAAAGATATTACAAGGAAAGAGGGAAAGGAGACTGCCCTTCCCCATTGTATATTTTTGCCTCCTTTGTTGTGAATCACTTGACTATATATGCATGGGTTTATTTGTGGGCTGTCTTCTGTTCCATTGAGCTATGTGTGTGTTTTTTAATGCCAATAACATACTGTTTTGATTACTATAGCTTTGTAATATAGTTTAAAATCAGGGAGCATGATGTTTTCAACTTTGCTTTTGTTTCTCAAGATTCCTTTGGCTATTTGGGGGTCTTTTGTAGTTTCATAAAAATTTTAGGATTTGTTCTATTTCTGTGAAAGTTGCCATTGGGTTTTTTGTTTTGTTTTGTTTTTTAATATACTTTTTTAAAAAATTGATTTCAGAGAGAGGAAGGGAGAGGGGGAGAGAGATGGAAACATCAGTGATAAGAGAGGGTCATTGATCGGCTGCCTCCTGCACATCCCGTGCTGGGGATCGAGCCCACAACCCAGGCATGTGCCCTGACTGGGAATCGAACCTCAATCTCCTGGATCGTAGGTCGATGCTCAACCGCTGAGCCACACCCATCCAGGTGCCATTGGGTTTTGATAGTGATTGCATTGAATCTGTAGATTGCTTTGGGTAACATGGACATTTTAAGAATATTAAGCCTTTCAATCTATGAGCATAAAATATCTTTTTACTTCTTTGCATCTTCAGTTTCATTTATCAATGTTTTATAGTTTTCAGTGTTTTATCTTTTACTTCCTTGGTTAAATTTATTCCTAGATATTTTAAATTTTCTGACGCAATTGTAAATGGGATTGTTTTCTTAATTTCTCTTTTTTGAGAGTTCTTTACTAGTGTATAGATAGACAACAGATTTCTGTACATTAATTTTGTATCCTGCAACTTTACTGAATTCACTTATTCTAATGTGTGTGTTTTTTAATTTTTGTTTTAAATATATCTTTATTAATTTCAGAGGAAGGGAGAGGGAGAGAGAGAGAGAAACATCAATGATGAGAGAGTCATTGATCGGCTGCCTCCTGCACGCCCCCGACCAGGGATCGAGCCCGCAACCTGGGCATGTGCTTTGACCGGGAATCGAACCCTTATCTCCTGGATCCTAGGTTGATGCTCAACCGTTGAGCCCCGCTCAGCTGGGCTCTAATGGTCTTTTGGCTGAGTCTTTAGGATTTTCTATATCATACTCTGTCATCTGCACATAGTGTTAGTTTTACTCCCTCCTTTTCAATTTGAATGCCTATTAGTTCGTTTTCTTGCCTAATTGCTTTTGCAGTGACCTATGGTACTGTGTTGAGTAAAAGTGGTGAGAGTGGGCATCCTTGTCTAGTTTCTGACCTTAGAGGAAAAGCTTTTAGCTTTTCACCATTGAGTATGATGTTAGCTGTGGGCTTGTCATTATTTTGAGGTATGTTCCCTCTATACCCACTTTGTTGAGAGTTTTTTTAATTATGTGTGGATGGTTGGATTTTGTCAAATGCTTTTTCTGCATCTATTGAGATGCTTATATGATTTTTATCTTTCATTTTGTTGACTTGCTGTATCACATTGATTAATTTGTGGGTATTGAACCATTCTTATATCTCTGGAATAAATCCCACTTGATCATGCTGTATGATCCTTTTAATGTATTGTTGAATTCCATTTGCTAATCTTTTGTTGAGATTTTTTTTTGCATCTATGTTAATTAGGGATATTGACTTGTAATTTTCTTTTCTTTTTTTAAAAGTTTTATTTATTGATTTCTAAGAGACAGAGATTTATTGTTCCACTTATTTATATATTCATGGTTGCTTCTTGTATGTGCCCTGACTGGAGATCAAACCCTCAACCTTGGGGTATTGGGACAACGTCCAACCAACTGAGCCACCTGGTCAGGGCCTAATTTTTTTGTGCTCTTCTTTTCTGTAATGACTGGCCAAGAGCATGCGGACTTGCCCATCTCATTTAATCCTCATAGCAAGCCTGTGAGGTAGATGGTTTTACTTCATTTTGTAGTTGAGGAAACTGAGCCTCAGTGAGAGAGAGAAACATCGATGTGAGAGAGGACACATCAGTTGGTTGCCTCCCATACACACCCGGACCGGGGCTGGGGATCAGCCCTGCAACCCAGGTACATGCCCTTGACTGGGAATCGAACCCAAGACCCTTGGGTGTGTGGGCCGGCACTCTAACCACTGAGCTACACTGGCCAGGGCAACAGATTTTTTAACTGACTGACTAAGAAGATGATCTAAATGATATAGCTCATTTCATAAAGCTTAAAATCAGAGAATCCTTTTTTAGACTTTAGTCTTCAAATCCACCATTTTGGGAACATGGTTCAGGCCATCACTGTCATTTCTGGAAATTCTTTTCATTTCAGGAAAGTGGGCTAAATCATTCCTTGCCAAATGAGGTTTCTTAACCCACAATTTGACTGAGAATGAGAGAATCAAATCGTATGTTTGTGTAGCTACTTATAATACCCTGACATAGAAATATTCTGAGTGTTTATAAATAGGTTGAAAGGGCAGCCAAAAAGATTGTGCATTCATTCCATCTAGACTTTGCTCCAAGGGGAGGCAGGCATTTTTCCCTTGGCTGGCTGGAACATGTTGTCCAGTTGGCACATTTATTCAACAAATATTGTGTGCTTCCTCTTTGTACAGGAGCATGCTAATAAGCACAGTAGAGAAAAACAAAGTTGAAGAGGATACTACCCTAACCCTTGAGGGGAAAGTTGTTTCAAGTGTAGAAAGAAGAATTAATTGCCCTTCTTATTTGCCCTTCAGATTTAGAGGATTTTAGATACGAATGCTCTAAATTTATTATTATCTGATTAAACTTGGTTTAAAACACTTTTTGCTTATTATATATGTTCTTTCCTTTCCTTTGTTATATTGACTTCTGTTTCATTACCTTTTGATAATTCCCTTTAGCTTGTGTAAAACTTTAAGGTCTCTGAAACTCTACCCTATAATGCTTAGGCATAAACACCAGCTTACATGTTATTAATTAATGCTATCAGTATAAATGCTATTAATGTAAATATATAGATGCGACTTAGTATGAACTATGGCTATTATGTAAAAATTGTTTTTCCTGAAATGTCCTGTTTTTTTAATATTGGATCTAAAATATTTTATTTCTTCTAGCATCTGTATCCAGTGTATTAGAAAGCATTTCCATAGAAGTGCTATGTATTTTTAAAAACATTTCTGAAATGACCTGGGTTATACTATAAATATCCTTCCTATCACCTCAACTTCTAGATGCCAGAACAAACAGAAGGGAACTCAGACCTCTTGCTTTTGCAGAAGCTTAGTAACAAATATAACTGAATACTATGGCCTTATTAAGACAACCTAGATAATTTTTACTCAGGGAGTACAATTAAAAATATTTTCATCATAAACTCAATATATATTTGCATAATGAAATACAATGGAGAGTCCATAAATAAATCAATTGGCCACAGATATATGGTTTTTCAACAAGAGTAACAAGACCATTCAATAGAGAAAGAATAATCCTTTCAGGAAATGGTGCTGGGGTCCGGCTGGGCGTGGCTCAGCGGTTGAGCCTTGACCTAGGATCCAGGAGATGCGGATCGATTCCCTGTCAGGGCACATGCCCGGGTTGTGGGCTCGATTCCCAGTCAGGGGCGTGCAGGAGGCAGCCAGTCAGTAATGACTCTCTCATCATTGATGTTTCTATCTCTCTCTCTCCCTTCCTCTCTCTGAAATTAATAAAGATATATTTAAAAAAAAAAAGAAAGAAATAGTGCTGGAACACCAGGATGTCCACATACAAAGAATGAATTTGGACTCCTACATTGCACCTATTATAACACTAAAAGTGTAAAATTCTTAGAAGTAAGCATAGTTGTTAATCTTTGTGACCTTGGGTTAAGTAACAGTTTAATAGGACACACTAAAAGCACAAGCAACTAAAGAAAATAGATAAATTGGACTAAAAAGTTAGAAACTTGTGTGTCAGAGGGCACTATCAAGAAAATGAAAGGTCAGCCTATAGAATGGGAGAAATTTTGTAAATCATACACCTGATAAGGGCCTACTATTCAGAATACTAGAGCACCTACAACTCAGCAATAAACAACTCTGTTAAAAATGGGCAAACAGTTCCCTAAAGAAGATACACAAATGGCTAGTAAGCACATGTAAAGATACTCCACAGGAAGAGATGCTCAGTATCACTAATCATTAGTGACATGCAAACCCAAACCACTAGATACAACTTCACCTCTACTAAAATGGCTGTGATAATACTAATTAAAAAAGAAGACAGCAGCAGTGTTGGTGAGGGTGTGAGGAGATTGGAACCCTCATGCATTCCTTGTGGGACTATAAAATGGTGCAGCTACTATGAAGGACAATTTGATAGTTTCTCAAGTTAACAAAAACTTGTACATGGATGTTCAAAGCATTATTATTCATAAAAGCCAGAAAGCGTAAACACAAATGTCCATCAGTTAATTAATGGATAAACAAATGTGATATATCCATATAATGGACTATTACTCGGCCATGGAAAGAAACGAAGTACTGATATATATTACCCCATGGACGAACCTTGAAAACAGTATAACAAGTAAAAGCATACTTGTTAAAATAGAAGTCTGTGGAAAATAAATACTATAAAATATGTAGATTCTTATGTTTCTTTTTAGGTAGCCAGACACAAAAGGTCATCTATTGTATGATTCCATTTTTATAAAGTGCCCAGAACAGGCAAATCCATAGAGATAGAAAAGTAAATTAGTGATTACCAGGGGATGAGGGAAGAGGTTTTCTTTGGAGTGAAGGAAATGTTCTGGAATTAGGTAGTGGTGATGGGGAATATACTAACCACTGAATTATACACTTCAAGATGACTTAAATGGTTAATTTTATGTTATGTGAGTTTTATCTCAATAAAAGTTGTTTTAAATAAAGATTATGTGGTACAGTAAAAAAATACATTTGCAAATCTACATTTGCAATGAAAATATTAAAGTTATACTTAGCAATTTCCATGTCTAAATGTATTATAATCCTTTCTTTACTCCAGGATGCTAGGAAAGCATGTAATGACGCAACGCTTGTTCAGGTAAAGTCCCCCTCCTCCCCCCCGTTTACTTTAGTAATTCACGCGAAACAGCTTTACACTGATGCGACTGACATTCAGATTTTCTATCAGTATTTAATTGAAAAATATGCGCTCTCTAAAAACACTTTGTAATGTGTCAGATGCTGCACAGGTGCTTTTAAAAGCATACATGTTAAAATAGAAGTCTGTGGAAAATAAATGCTATAAAATATGTAGATTCTTATGTTTCTTTTTAGGTAGCTTCTTGATTTTTTTAATATACTCTGATTAAGCTTTTTTTATTATATAAACTCTTAGGAAGGTTTTATTAAGTTAATTAACATTAATAATTTTCATTAAGGAAATATTTTATGTGCTTTACAAATATAAAAGTGGCTTTCTTATAGGCAGTTAAAATGATAAATGTTTTACTCTTTGATCATCTGCGATTAGATTTTTATTTGGTCTGTTTTTCTCCCTAAAGTTGAGAGGTATGTCTGTTCTTTTTAGTTAATAGTCTACAGAAGATATTCTTACTGGAAAGTGTGCATGTAGCATAATTTTAAATCAGTTACACTTTCTTGAACTACATATTGATCCTATGCTTTCTCTATGGAATTATTTATGTTAAATTACCTTCAGTTGCTCTAAATTTGTTTTATGTCTGATTTCTTGCCTATTAATTGTTTCTACTTTATTTCCTGAGCTATATCTAAGGTAAAGAATAACATTCATCTCGCTTTATAAAGATCACATCAAATATGGATTCTGTGGGTCGGATACAAATGCGAACAAGACGTACACTGAGGGGGCACCTCGCTAAGATCTACGCCATGCACTGGGGCTATGATTCAAGGTTTGTACCTGCCATTTTCAAATTATCCACAGAAGTATATTCATTAAAAATCACCATTTGCATTTCCTTTAAAACAAATAATTTTTATAGTTAAAAAATAAACTATATTTATGAAATGTTTGGAGAAAATGCACCCAATATGAAGACTTTACTCTCACCAAATATATTCAGGGACACTTTAAAAGTTTATATACCTTTACTGTGGAAAATAAATTCATCTCTCAAAAATATCATTATTAGATTATCCAGGTAAACTGTTCAGGATTTCTTCTCTTTGCAGTGAGGTATTATACTTTGTTTTTTTATTGTGTCAAAAGGAGTTCTGTTGTATATTAACCTTGAAGTTTCAGTTAATAAGCAAATATTTCTGAGTATTGCTATGTACAAGTTACTAGGTATTGCTCTAATTATTATCTAAATTCACAAAGGATGGATTTAGCTCTATATTTAGCTCTCCAAATTGCATTTTTCAAGATGCATTCTCTTTTGTGAGATTACTTGATTAACTTAAATATCAGTTATTTTTCCCTTTGGCATTTATTTTATGCTGCTCCTTTGACAATTTTTACTACTTGATTTCTTATAAGTATGTGTAAATATCTACCAGATGGTGGAGGCCTCAAAGGTAGGAGGTATTTTCTGTGTTGTACCCATAACACGGCCTTGCATTCACAGGCTCTCAGTTGATATTTTTCGACTAAATGAACATGGTTGTTAGGCTTACGTGGACTCTATTGTCGTTAAATTTAAATCAGTAAATACAAACCAGTCAGCTAATACCTATCAGAATCTTGAATAAGAATGAGAATGCTGTCACCATGAAAAAGTTGAATCATAACCAGAGACATTTTTAGTAAAATGTCTAAATTTTGCTAAATTTTATGTTATGTTAAAAATTTTGGCATGCAGAATAAATTTCTTTTAAAGTTAGGAGACTGGCAGGAATGGCGTGGAGGGGGTCAGTGGGGAAAAAGGGGGGGGGATATGGGGACATTTGTAATACTTTCAACAATAAATGTAAATTGAAAAAATAAAGTTGGCAGACTATTTTCTGGTATCAAGTTTTTAATTCAAAAAATTATATGTATATTTTCTGAACTGTTCTACATTAATGTCATGCATAACTAATTTAAACTACTTTTTCCCTCTGTCAAATTATTTTTGTTTGTTCCTCTAGGCTACTAGTCAGTGCTTCCCAAGATGGAAAATTAATTATTTGGGATAGCTATACAACAAATAAGGTAGAATTTCTTAGTCATTCTCTTAAGTAACCTGTTATTTTATTTGATGTTCATCAGTTCTTTCCTTTATTCTGCTACTTTCAACTGTAATTTTCTTCTGAGATAAATTTATTCCATTTATTTTAATCTAGACCCTCTCTTCAGGCTTAGTGTTTGTTTTAATATTTAACTTCTTTTTCTATTCCCAAGAACAACTGCAGGCATATTGTTCAATGTGTTTTACCGGACTCTCTTATTTCATATTTGAATATTAGAAAAGAGTGTGCATAAGTTTTACATAGAAATGATTTTTTAAACAAAGTCCTATTTCCTAATGTGATAACAACCCTGAGATTTTTATTTCTAGTTGTGGGTAAGGAAGCTTTTCTTTGGTCCACTCTAGGCACTGATTTGTGTTTCTGGACTGCTCAGAAGAGACAACTTGCTTAGATCTCTTGCTGGTGGAAGCCGGTGGGCCCCCTAATGTGCCTACTGGAAGGAATGCCTGACACCTTGGTGTTCAGTGGTAGTGGAAAAGCTTCAGGAAAACTTTCACAAGTCAAATTCCTTTAGATTATATGTACACTTGTATCACTAGTTTTATTAAAGTTTAAAAAGTATTTTGTGAAGTAAACAGTGTCTTCAGCCTGGTTGAGAATTTAAAGGTAGCTAAGATAGCTTTGCATTATAACAGTTTTTCCACATTAATTGGCATTGAGCACGTGACTTTAAATTATATTTTCCTAAAACAAAAAAATTGTGTATTAAAAATATAATTTTAAGTTAAGTGAGAGCACAGTAGTAATCACATGATGTGTTGATTCTCTGTATGGACCGTTTAGCCTTACTAGTCCCACGCCTTCAATTTTGCTGCCTGACCTGCAAATGATTGGTGTTGGGTGAGAAGACACCAGATAGTGGTATGAGTGGGTCAGTGCAGACTATTCCCATTGTTTAAATTCGAGCCCAGAGTATGTGACCTGTTATTAGAAGGACCATCTCTTCATGGAAGAGCCATTTTAATCAACTCTGATACTTGTATTACTCAATGTTATGTTGGTGGAAATTCCTCTTTCTTGTACCATTGGAAAAACAAAGAATTTTATTTTTTATCTTTAACATTTTACACTTAATATTTCAAATTGTCATATAGCATTGAAATATCCTTGTTCTTCTCTTAAAAGAATAACTTCTGAAAAGAGCAGTTAAATCGAATTATTTATAATACAGAAAAAGTAACAGGCATTTCAGTGTGCATTAGTATGTTGTGTTCATTGTCCCCTTTCTCAATCCATTGTGTTATTTATTTTGCCTTGACTGTTAGATGCATTTAATTTTTAGTGATGTCTGTCTCGTTGTAAGTGGGTGGGAAGATGAGCGAGTCTCTGCTTAGCTGTGCGCGTTGTTTGCTCTTCAGATGCATGCTATTCCCCTGAGGTCCTCCTGGGTGATGACCTGCGCCTACGCTCCCTCGGGAAATTACGTGGCCTGTGGAGGACTGGACAACATCTGCTCCATATATAACTTAAAGACCAGAGAGGGGAATGTGAGAGTGAGCCGAGAGTTGCCGGGTCACATAGGTGAGCTCCACTGAATATCGCCCTGTTTTTCTTAAAAAAGTATTATTTTTGTAAAGATGATAAATTTATTGCAAAAAAATTCAAACAATTAAAAATACAAAAAAAAAAAGAGCAAATATTATTTTCTGTATTCCCTGCAACCATACGGGGTTTTGGCATCTATGCCGAATTGTGTGATTGAAAGTAGGCATTAAGATAACACGACGCGCTCTGCGCTGCGACAGCTCGCGGCCGTGTTCGCCAGCGCGCAGCGCGCATACCGCGGCGGTGCAGCATTTGGGCAGCGGTGTTCGTTAGGAACTTTGCCGCTCGTCCCATTCCCGCCTCTCCGAATTCTTACAATACGATTGGACCATGCTTTTTACAAAACCCCTATAACGGTATTTTCCGGCCATTTCCATATTTTGAAATACTGGTGAATTCTGAGCATTCAAATGCCACCTTTTTCAAGAAGCCTTCACCAGGGTGGTGGTTCTAATTTCTCACAGTACTTTTAATCTTTCTCCAAGGTACTTAATCCCATCTGCCATAGATATAGATATTTGAGAGAAGTATCTCTCTCTCTCAGGTAATTGTGGTGGGCAGGAGGGACTGTGTCTTACTCAAGTTGTAACTTTCAGAGTGCCCAACATGATGTCATTGACACAGTAAATACCGAAGAATTAATTGATAAAATCTAGTTTTAAATAGCACTGAGTTTGGAGTAATTAAAAGCAGAACTGTAGATTGTACTAACCAATACTGTTGCCCAGGTATTATATTTTTAATAATATATATTAGTATTTGTCCCTGGCCAGGTAGCTTAGTTGTTAGAGCATCATCTGGATATGCCAAGGTTGTGGGTTCGATCTCTGGTCAGGGCACTTACAAGAAGCAACTAATGAATGCATAAATAAGTGGAACAACAAATTGATGTTGCTCTCTCTCTAGATATATATGTATATGAGTATGTCATATGCTAATTGAATTATTTAATCAATGATAACCTAAAATGTTACTCTCTATTTTCTAGGCTACTTGTCCTGCTGTCGTTTTTTAGACGACAGCCAAATTGTTACAAGTTCAGGAGATACAAATTGGTAAGTTTATTTCAGAATAACACTGATTTGGGGGTTGAGGGTGATAGTAGGAACTAATGTAGGAAGATATAATGGACACTATTTTTATTCATTTTTAATTGCAGTGCTTTATGGGACATTGAAACTGCCCAGCAGACCACCACATTCACTGGGCATTCTGGAGATGTGATGAGTCTTTCTCTGAGTCCTGACATGAGAACTTTTGTTTCTGGTGCTTGTGATGCCTCTGCCAAGTTATGGGATATTCGAGATGGAATGTGTAGACAGTCTTTCTCTGGACATGTGTCAGATATTAATGCTGTCAGTGTAAGTGAATAGCATTTCTGAGGGAAATTTATTGCACATTTAAAGTGCTGAACTCGATAGCATGATTTGCACAACAAATTGCCTTTGAGGATTTTTATAAATACAATTTATAAATTCTTTTTTTTTTTTTTTTTTTAATATATCTTTATTGTTTTCAGAGAGAGGACAGGAGAGGGAGAGAGAGAGATAGAAACATCAGGAAGAGAGAGTCATTGATCAGCTGCCTCCTGCACACCCCCTACTGGGGACCGGGCATGTGCCCTGTCCAGGAATCGAACCNAACATCAATGATGAGAGAGTCACTGATCAAGCCCGCAACCCGGGCATGTGCCCTGACCAGGAATCAAACCCCGATCACCTGGATCCTAGGTCAACGCTCAACTGTTGAGCCACGCCCAGACGGGCTATAAATTCTTATAAATAATGTGCTCTTACAACATTGAATTCCCAAATAGTAAGGGTTTGATTTAAAAAAGAAAAAAACAGTCCTGGCTGGTGTGGCTCAGTTGGTTGGGCATCATCCGTTCACCAAAAGGTTGCTGGTTTGATTCTTGGTCAGGGCACATGCCCAGGTTGCGGACTCCATCCCAGGCAGGAGGCGCTCAGGAGGCAGCCAACCAATGTTTCACTCTCACATCAATGTTTCTCTCCCCCTCTCCCTTCCTTGCTCTCTAAAAATCCATAAAAACATATCCTCGAGTGAGATTAAAGGAAAAAAGGAGTACACATATAGAAATTATGTGAATAGTAATATTTATATTTAAATATTTTAATAAGACATATGGAGGACCAGAGACAATATTTACTGAATACTTGCTACATGTTAAACAATAGGCTCTATACTTGGCATATGTTATTTCATTCAATTTTAACCAACACTCTAAAACTGAAACTAAGGCCCAGCATGTTTAAGAATCTTGAGCACCCAACAGCACTCACCAGGTTGGAATTTGAATCTAGGTCTGTTTTACCCAGAGTCTGTCATTACATTGTCTCACATGATTTTTGTACATGTCTATGGAATAAATGTTTCTTGCTTTTCTTTCTAGTTTTTTCCGAATGGATATGCCTTTGCCACTGGCTCCGATGATGCCACTTGCCGCCTCTTTGACCTTCGTGCAGACCAGGAGTTATTATTGTATTCTCATGACAATATTATCTGTGGAATCACCTCTGTAGCCTTCTCAAAAAGTGGGCGCCTCCTGTTAGCTGGTTATGATGACTTTAATTGTAATGTATGGGACACACTGAAAGGAGATCGTGCAGGTTAGTACCTACGTATACCTTATGTTTTGGTTTTGTCAGGGAACATGAAAGGTTCCCATCGATTTGAGGCTCCTGGCCACCCTGGATATGGGGACTGGCAGCCCAGCAGTTCTTATTCGTGGCCACTGTTGCCCTTTGAGTGAAGTTACAGTTCATAAACCATAGTTACATTCCTGTTTTCTGAAGAGTTAACATCTAGTTGTCATTTTCCGTTTTTTTTTTTTTAATTCAAGCGAAAGTTTCTTTAGAAAGTCACAGAGGTAGGAAAAGTGAGCCAGCTGGGCTGTGTGGGCTCAGGAAACAAGTTACAGAGGCAAAGGGGGTAGAGAGAGAGCAAAGGTACTCGCCTTGAGGGAAGAGAGTGGGGGAAAGGTGCTCCAGAGAGAAAGAGTGTGTCCTGGGGAAAGAAGGGCTTCGGGAAGGCACGAGTGTGCTTGTGAGCCCATATTTTCTTGTTTAATAAGTTTTGATAAAAAGATGAACAGTGAATATAATTCACTGTGGTCTTTTCCAAATTATAGTTTTCTTATAAACTGACAGGAAACATTGTAACTGCTACAGATCATCTTCCTTCTGGAATAGATCTTGTTTGGGACAGGACAGACCCACTGTCTTCCCGTAGCCTCATACTCTGAGTTATGTCCTGCAGCTTCCAAAATATTAGTATGTACACCAAGTCATATTGGAGACTGTCATTAATAACAAATCACAGAGCGATTTGGTTTTTTTTTAGAATTAAAGCTATCCTTAAGGAATCAAATAGTTCTACACAGCATGTTACAGCACAGCAGTCCTGACCCCAATCCATGTTCCCTGCTTCCAAAGGTAGCTTAGCTGCGGAGGCTTTATCATCCCTCCCACCACACTCCACCCAGCCACGTCCTTCCCATCTTCCAACTTCCCCGTTTTTTGAATTTTGTTTAGAGCATCAGTCAGAGTTCAGGTAATTGTGACTTTTTAAACAGTACTTCCTGCTGAGCCATGAGGTATACACTATGACTTCTTTTGTTATGCAGCTTTTTAATATTCTCTAGGGTAAAATTAATCGTTTGGCTTATTCTTAGTTTTGATGTACTTCTCACTAATTAATTAATCTTTAACCTTCCTGCCAGTTTAGATATGTCTTGGAGTGGGTCCATTTTCATTCACTGTGCTGGATATTCAGTGGACCTTTTCAATCTGGGAATTTATACCCTGTAGTACTAGGAAGGTTGGGGTGGGCGGTGGTATTTAATTGCTAGCATTTCTTGTCCATTACCATTCTGTTTCTAGAACTTCATTATTCTGATGTTTGATTTCCCTGAACTTTCCTTAGACTTTCTTATTATATTCTCTGTTTTCCATCTGTGTTTTTTTTTCTTCTTCTTAATGTTCTAGGAGAAATCCTTGCCCTTTTCCCCCCAATAATCCTTCTGTTCTGGTTTTGCATTTTTGCTACCATCTTTTGGAGATTTTTTTGTTAACACGTCAATTCTTTGTTTCATGAAAGTCTTGTTTCTCTGAGGTTATTAGGGAAAGCCGTTTTGAAGTTCTCTTCAATCTTTTGATTTCCAAGTTGCTTTTTCCCCCTTCTTTTTTTAGTTAGTGCCCTCTCCTTACTTTTAGACTATTTCCTTAAAACTCTGGTGATTCTTAGCTTATTTATACTTAAGAGTGATGCGCTAAAACCACCTGAAAGCCCTGTGCACATGGGTGGGGTGTTTTGCCTCCTGGCCTCACTGGACAGTCTGGCCAGGCTTCATGGGGAGCTGCTGGTAGCTCTTACGGACTTTCTTCCCCGGGGCTAGCCGTGTTCTCTGAGATGAGTTTTCCACTTTTCTGCCTACAGTGTATAAGCCGGATGCTGGCTTGGGGGCTGATTTCAGAAGGAAAGCTGAGGGGCAAAACAATTAGCAAATAAACTTTCCTTACTCCCCATTTTCAGCACAGTTGCACCAATCTCAGCTGCGCCTGTTCCCTTCCAGTTAAGAGACCCTTTTTCCTCTCCAGCAAGGAAGTCTCTGTAGCCTAGTGTCTTGGTGCAGGAAGATCATCACCCTGCCCTGCAGTGGAGGGAGAAGCCTAGGGAGCCTGATCCCCGAACCCTTTCTAGCACAGTCTCAGTTTACCCCAGCTTGGCCGCCACCCGGTTCTGGAAATGTCTGGTCCCACGAGTATCTGACCCTTTGGAGGTTCTGCAGTGTAATTTTGTTTCTTGGCTTACCAGACCACTTGCTGTGAACTCAGCATTTTAGGGTCCACTCAGACAGTTCCCGCCGTCCAGCCTACAGCATTTCGCCGCCACCGCCTGCTCTCATGTCCTGTCCGGTGGGTTTTTCCCTACCCGTGTGAACTCCTGTACAGGCCTTGTTTCTGAGGGAGTGCAGGCAACAAGAACGTTCCCAGGAATAGTTTTCTACAGCTGCTCTTAAGAGATGTGGAAAAGTCCACAGTTTGCATTTTGGAGCTATTCTGTTGTCCAAAACCAATTACTTTCTAAAGGTATTAGGTGTTTTGCCGTAACAAAATTAAAATGTTTTCTATATTTTTAAACATATGCTTGAGTTTTAGTTTTGCTTTTCTTACAGATGGTTGATTTTCAAGGTGGCTCAACTGGACACTTTTACTGTAAAATTGAATCGTGGCTCATTCTCAGACTAATTCATTCTCCTTTCCAGTGTGAGTTGGGGTCTTTAGCCTTTAGCCACAATGTTCATTTCTTGGTATTTCAACCCATAATGGTAACTTTGCCCATTGCCAAACATTGCCATACTGGATATGTGACAGAATATTGTTGGACAAGAAGAACTTCTGTTCCTGAGACTGGATGAGAATATTCTTAATTATATCGAGAGGGAACACAAGCTCAACACAGTATTAAAGAAAATTTCTTGTGCGAATTTGATAAATTCTGTTTTTTTCTTTAAAATCTTTACATTTCTCATTTTCCTCCCAAATATTTGGGAATATTTCATTTTATCCCCATGTGGTAATCAGACTATCGAGGTTAATATACAAATGATACTAAAACTAGATGAGTTTGAGGGTCTCAGAAAGTTATAACCAAAACATTCCAGTGTTTGGAGGTTAACAGAAGAATGTTGGTATTTTTGAAGGGGCGATGTGTAAGGCAACTTCTTTTTATGTGTTTGTTGTTCTTGTGGTAAAAGACAACCTCACTGAAAATTTTTTGTTGGAAACAGCATAGCTCAGTGGCAAAATTTGGAGTAGCATGAGCTTATTAGAGATGTAAAATAATAGCCTATATCTGTTATACTAGATATAAGAAAGCATAATTTATAAAATAATTTAAAAAAATGAGTAACATGATTTAACATGTCAAAAACTCATGAAGTACAAAGAGTTGTGGTTTTTTGTGTTTTTTTTTACATTTCTTTATCTTTATTGTTGAGAATATTACAGATACCCCTTTTTACCCCCATTGATCCCCTCCACCCCACATCCATCCCACTGCCAGGCCTTCGCCATACCAGTGTCTGTGTCCATGGGTTATGCTTATAAACATACAAGTTCTTTGGTTAATCTCTCCCCACCCACTCCCCTCTCCCCGCCTTCCCTCTGAGATCCCTCAGACTGTTCCATGCTTCTATGTCTCTGGATCCACTTTGTTCATCAGTTTATTTAATTATATTCCACATATGAGTGAGATCATGTGGTACTTGTCTTTCTCTGACTGGCTTATTTCACTCAGCATAATACGTTCTAGTTCCCTCCATGCTGTGCCAAAGGGTATGAGATCCTCCTATTTTATAGCTGCGTAGTATTCCATGGTGTGAATGTGCCACAGCTTTTCATCCACTCATCTACTGATGGGCACTTGGGCTGTTTCCAGATCTTAGCTATTGTAAATTGTGCTGCTATGAACATAGGGGTGCATAGGTTCTTTGTGATTGGTGTTTCGGGTTTCTTAGGATATATTCCCAGAAGTGGGATCACTGGGTCAAATGGCAGGTCAATTTTTAATCTTTCGAGGAAACTCTGTAGTGGCTGCCCCAGTCTGCATTCCCACCAGCAGTGCACTAGGGTTCCCCTCTCTCCACACCCTCACCAGCACATGTCCTTTGTTGATTTGTTGATGGAGCCATTCTGACAGGTGTGAAGTGACACCTCACTGGTTTTAATTTGCATCTCTCTGATGATTAGCGATGTTGAGGATTTTTCATATGTCTCTTGGCCATCCCTATGTCCTCTTTGGGGAAGTGTCTATTTAGGTCCTTCGCCCATTTTTTAATTGGATTGTCTGTCTTCCTTTTGTTAAGCTGTATGAGTTCCTTATCCCTTTATCAGATGAGTTGTTGGCAAACATGTTCTCCCACAGTGGGCTCCCTTTTCGTTCTGTTGGTTTCTTTTGCTGTGCAGCAGCTTTTTATTTTGATGCAGTCCATTTGTTTATTGTCTCCTTCATTTCTCTTGCCCTAGGAGATGTATCAGCAAACATATTGCTACAAGAGATGTCTGAGATTTTGCTGCCTATGTTTTCCTCTAGGATTTTTATGGTTTCATGTCTTACATTTAAGTCTTTTATCCATTTTGAATTTACTTTTGTGTCTGGAGTAAGTTGGTGGTCTGGTTTCATTTTTTTTTGCATGCACCTGTTCAGTTTTCCCAGCACCGTTTATTGGAGACTGTCTTTACTCCGTTGTATGTTCTTCCTCCTTTGTCAGATATTAATTGACCATAATGGCTTGGGTTGATTTCTGGGTTCTTTGTTCTGTTCCACTCATCTGTATGTCTGTTCTTGTGCCAGCACCAGCCTGTTTTGATGACAGTGGCTTTGTAGTATAACTTGGTATCTGGTATTGTGATCCCTCCAACTTTGTTCTTCTTTCTTAAGACTGCTGTGGCTAGTCGGGGTGTTTTTTGGTTCTATATAAATTTTCGAAGAGTTGTGTTTTACTTACATGTCCAGCTTACCCCCACATTCAGTCTCAGGACTCAGAGCAGTTTATTAGCTTTTAAGTAGTACCTTCTAGAACTTCTGTGCATACACTTGTTTAGTTTTAAAACTTGCCATTGCTAACTTTTTACTGAACTTTGTTTTTCAGGTGTTCTTGCTGGTCATGACAACCGTGTCAGCTGTTTGGGTGTAACTGATGATGGCATGGCTGTGGCAACAGGCTCTTGGGACAGTTTTCTTAGAATCTGGAATTAACACTGCATACACACAATTTTGCTGTTCTCTGTTGATATCTGGAGAAATCAGTGCTAACAGCCTATAGCTGTGAAAAAAATTCTACCTTATATTTGCAGTTGAAGATTTTTCTATTGAGATTACTATATACAAAAAGGAGCTTTCAGTAAACTACAAAACAGAAAAATGATGAAACAAACAAAACAAAAACAAGGCAAAGGTGCTTGCTGAGATCAAAAGGACCAGTGTATTGAGTTGAGCTAATTTAACCTTGATGAATTTTTGCTTTTACTCTGCCTAATTCTGTTTACTTTGTGTAGAACAAAATGTACACATTATAGCAACCTGTCATGTCTGTGTTTGTATTTTTTAAGAACTTCATTTTTAACTTTCTATACACCAGAAATGTCACATTTTTTGAGTTTTGTAATGGAGGAACCAGGCACAGTAATAGATGAAAGTAATACCATATGTGTCTGTCATTATGTTTGAAGAGTCTCCTTGAATTCCGACCTCCCTCTTTGATCTAAGAGAGATCCGGGTTGCTTAATGCTTTAAGAATGCTGACAGGTAGGTCCCTCAGGGGAGCCCTTTTGAATATGTTTCTGGTGCATCCTTTGCCATCCTGTCCATTTAAGTGCCATTTTCAGTCCTTTGAGGGGAAGATAACCTGAAGGCTAGGAAATAACTTCACTCTGCAACTTAAGACATATGTAAGAAACATTACATTAATAGGTAGCAATAATTGCATGTAAATGATTCTTGACATTTTAAAAGGCAGATTATGATCAAATGACACTGTACTCTAGATAGCGGGGCTTTCCTATTGATTTCATCTTCTAGAACTGAGTTTGCAGAGTATATTCCTTATTCCAGGACATTAATGAATGTTTGGATTGTCCTTGCATCTGAAGAATTTCCCCCCATGTTCTCAGTATGCATCTAGATCTAAGGAAATAGGATGGCCTTATGTTTTGAAAGAAGTGTAAAATCTAACCAGTCACTAGACCTGAGTAGTTATAGTTGTGACAAGGTGGCTTTATGAATTTATGTTCACATATATAAAATCTGAATTGATGTAGACTGTGCGTTCAGATTTAAAAAAGGAAACATTTAAGCTCTTGCTCTTCTGTAACATTTCTTTCTTCAGCACAAAATACTGGTTTCTAAGTGGTGTGGCTCTACTTTAAAGAATGGCCAGATCCAAGTGACTCATTTTAAAGCCAAAAGGAAAATTGCAAGAGCAGCTCTTTAAAAAGTCAGAGGAAGATGCTAAGCAATTCATTCCTCAGCTTGTCAAGGATATAATAATGTGTTGTCTGTTACTAGAATGGGCCTCCTGGGAAGATACTCTCCCACTTGGATTTTCTCCTACAAATAAATCTAAATGATTGACAATGGAAGACTGTTAGTCTTGCTTGATGGTGAAGTCATGGGCTGTTCTGATGTATTGTAGAAGTGCATTGTGTTTTGTTAAATCAGTAAACTGTGTCAATTACTGACTGTTAAATCAGTAAACTGTGTCAACTGTGCTGTCTCTGTTGACTTTTGATCACCTATAATCCTAAACATTCCCAAATTTTGCGTCGATTTTCATTTTTATCTTGTGAATGTACTAATAAGTGCACCAACTATAAGGAAGTCAGTTTTAACATCATTTGATATTAAAAAGAGAATAAAATGAATAAAGGAAGATTAAGATATGGGGCCAAAAAAAGACTTGTAGCTGGTAGAGATGAATGTATATTTATACACACAGATTTCTATGAACTTTTTGCTATTAATGTTTGTGGACTACTTATATCACTTTGTAAAGAGCAGCTTTTTGAGATTAGGCAAGAATATTTTAAAGGAATGTATTCATTTCCAAAAGGGGGTGAGGGTTTGCCAGATAGTTCAGCAATTCATTCCAAAATCCTAATCAAGGAAGCACTTCTGCCAGGAGCAAAAAAGCATTGTGTAGAGAGAGTATCCCTTCTACTTGGAAAGTTATTCTGGGAACAAAAAACTTTAGAGAGGCACACAGACTATAATTCTATGGTCTTAAACATGTTGATAAAAATGATTTATTTTAATGTTATTAGTTTCTGTGGATAGTTTAAAAGCAATTCCCATAATTAAATATGTACTAATATGTACTAGGTAACTGAAACCTGACAAGAGCCCAAGATCGTGGCTAATTATTATACATATGACCAAATGGTGACCTCATTCCACATTAACATACCAGTTAAATGTTTGCTTTCTAGTAATCTGGATTCTGGTTGCTAAATATACAGGATGTCCCCCAAAAATGTATACACACTTTAACAGCTGATAGCTCAATTTTGAGATTGAAATGTATTTTAATAAAGACTGCCTTTATAGTTATTCAGTGTGTGTATAGTGTTCTGGGGACACCCTATATTACTTGCAGTTTGAGTTTAGCTGATTGTCAATTTAATTCTGTTGTTCATGAGACTCTAAAATAAAAAAGAATTGTGTCTAATTTGTAGAATCACTGTACAGTTTGAATCTTAGTTTCTGAAGACATAAACTATATGGCCAAACATAGTTTTAAGGAATTTCTATCAAGAATATTATAGTTGAGGCCTATTTTTTCTTTTATCATGTAGGAAACAGGTTTTTATTCGTAGACTCTTAAAAAAGTATGTTTTTATTGATTTCAGAGAGGGAGAGGGAGAGATACAAACATCAATGATGAGAGTCATTGACTGTTTGCCTCTTGCACGCCCCACCCTGGGGACTGAGTCTGCAGCTTGGGCATGTGCTCTGACTGGAAATTGAACCTCGATCTCCTGGATCATAGGTCAATGCTCAACTGCTGAGCCACACTGGCTGGGTTATTTGTAGACTCTTTAATCACCTAAAGAGTCATTTAGAGATCTGACAATATTTTAAAGGCATACTTTTCTAAAATAGTGACCTGCCATGTGATTAACCAAATCATCCCCAAAACCTGCTCAAGAAAGCACTTCTTGCTCCCATGAACTAGGTCCCTCCCTAGCTCCTATTTCTATACCTGTGATTCCAAGGTTATGCACATTATATTGAGTTCCATCTTCATAGAGGCAAAGACTTGGGCTTCATATTTCAACTACGAGAGAGATTAGCAGGCAGTTGTTATTTTCATTTAGAGTCAGCTGAACGGATTATACTGTATGATGATAGCGTAGTCTCCAGACATGATGGATGTAGGCGCTTCTGGAGTACGGGGTAAGCAATTTAAAAGTTAACCTGATGGATCTTGACTTCTCCAGGTGAGAAAATGAAATTTTTATTATTGTTAAAAAAATACTGTGCAATATTATATAACTGAACTTTTGCAACATTTTTGAGGTCTTAGATTAATAATAAAGACTGACAATTTTAAAAGTGAAAACCTTCAGGGAAACTTATGCTTTGAACACTGGCTGAATGTCTCACATTTACAACTATAACAAAATTGAACACTTGTAGCTTATTTGTTGATGCATTTAAACTTATGGAAACAATCTCCCAAAGGAACCTATCAGAAGTTTTATTATTTTTTTAGAATCTTCAGGGTGTGAGTCAGGCTTAAAGAAATTTTTAAAAAAATTCATTATGTTCAGCTTCCAGTTCCTCTTTTGCCATTGTGGAAAGCAAAATTTTAAACTTTCTCCCCTCCTGTTAGAATTTTTAAAAGACCCACAAAGCTAGACAATCTTCCTTGTGAGGAAGGGTAGCACAGTGATAAAATTGGCATTTTAAATTTGATGAAGTAGAATGTACACTTTACTAATTTTTCTCTCATTCATTTTGAGTTGCCTTAAATTTAGTGCTGTATTTAAAAAATATTGGTTACCATAGGTACTCATGAAAATGGTTGGTGTTTGAATGTCTAAGCTAGCAGTTTTAAAAAGTAATTTATTAATCACATATTGATGGTACATCTTGTATTTAGCAAATGTTTGCATGTTGATAAAATTTCGTCTTTTTTCTTAAATCTAATTACTGACCCTATAAAAGTTATAATGCAGCATTATGAAAAAAACTGATTGTGTTTTAATGTGTTCAATGCGCCCGACTAAACACATCATACAGTATTTATTTCTTAGTTAATAGAACTTCAGAGATATACTTGGTAGATATTTCAAGCCTTTTCTGTCACACAATGGTGCTTTATCCTATTGTTTTCTTTACAAAGAAGCATCTGAACACTGTATTTGCATATTCTTATCCAAAGGCATCCACATCTAAGTGGGTTTTTAAAAGTTTGATTAAAATGTTTTTCTTCACTTAGAATGGCTTTTACACACTTGTGAGCAGTTGACTTGGAATTTCAGTAGCATAACTATGGGAAAGGTGAACGTACTAGATTAAAGCTCTTCTAAAAGCTTGAAACCAAACGATGGACTTGTCCCATGATTTAACAGTATTCTTGGGTCTTTCTTGCACAGTGATTCATTCCTTTATTTGTACAGTAGCTCTGTGAAATAATGTGGGCTGTGAATTGATACTGTAATCAATAAAGTTCTTTAACCAGATTTCATGTGGCATATTTTAAGTCAATTTTAGATTTTAATATTAAGTCCCAGAACTAAACTCCAAGCCCAATATGTCATGATCAGCCCTAATTCCTTTACCTAAACATTTGTCATGGATTCCAGAGCAGGAAAGAGATTGGGGTGCTCCTGTTGTGCTGTTAGCTTAAAGAACGACAAATCTTCATTGAAAAGCAAAATTAAGTCATTCTTTCCCTGGTTCTCCCTTAGGATAAACAATTCTATTGCTTATAGGGTTGATTATAAGTTTTTTCATCACCTCAGCCATGGGTGAGGATTAAAGAGGAAACTTTCAATACCGATCAGGTGTCCTATACGAGTTAATCCAATCAGAAGAAGAGCCAGTCTACCCAAGATAGCTTATATATCTCGAGGGAAACTCACTAAATGCCAGTATAAATGCTACATTTATCAACTATCAGACAAGTTTTATTTTCACCTTGCAAGTTTGCATACTTATTTAAAAAATGTAGTTTTGTAAAATGTTTGAGGTTATACAAAGTTTATAAACAATCCTGCAAACACACATAGTGAACAAGAACTCTGAACTGTATCAGCTGTAACTTGCATGATTTCTGTAGAATTCACGGGCTTGGTTGTAGGTGGACTTAACCTCTAGGCAGAAAGGCTGGGTTTCATTATTTTAGTGTCGATTTCCAATATTCACAGATTTTCAAACCTGATTAAGTGGAACTGCATTCAAACTGGTGGTGGAAAACTTACTACAAACTTACATAGCAGAATCACGATTCCAGGAGTTCCAAAACGTTAGTGTGCATCAGGATGACCTGGAGGGTTCTTACAACATAGACCGCTGGTCCCCAAAGCTAGTGTTGAGTCAGTAGGTCTGGGGTAGGACCCAAGAATGTGCATCTCTTACAAGTTGACAAGTGATACTGTTGATCCAGGTACCAACTTTGAGAACCACAGTAGTATACTAATGAAGTGATACCAAACCACTACGCTGTTTCAAAATTTCAAGTACTTTGTTGAGCTTGTAACCTAAATTAGCAATACCTAGTCTTAGACATCAAGTTTTCATGCTGCAGTTGTTACCTGATACACACTTGTTGGTGGCCTGAACCAATTTTTGGTTATAAAGCAACAACAAAACCTGTAAATTAATATTTATTGCAATTTGACACTGCACCCTAGTATCTGATTGGCATAAAAATATATTTTTGAAAGGCTTCTATGGCCTAAATAATATTCTCAAAATATCCTGAAAAGTAGTGTTGCTGCACCTGCTGTGAAAATACAGAATGGCATCCAAAAGCCTTAAAGGCACAGAAAAGGAAGTGCTGAGTATTAAAAGAAGAAAGGAGCCTGAAATGTTACTTCTCCCACCGTCTCTGTGCATTTCTAACAAGCATCTAGGTGATGCTGATTTGGTGGTCCTCAAGGCTCCATTTTGCATAGCAAAGCCCTAGAATGTCATTTTTTAAACATTTTCATATAAGTTTCAATTAGTTTTTAACACACACACTATACTTGAATCCATAAACATTTCATTAAGCTGAAAAATACAGTGGTAATTTTTAACCATGCCCTGGCAAATTCATACCATTAAGTAAAAGTAAAGCCACCTCAAGGGGACAATCCAGCCATATCCTCAACAACTACCTTCGGAAGAACAGAGTTTGTACATGACTATAACCATCCAAAATTCAGACCTCCCATCTCTGGCTATTTTTATCGCTTCAAACTTTTAAAACTTAGAAAGTGTTCCTTACTGTGGTCATAGCTGAAGCTGAAAATGTTTCTTTAGAAACATCAGAAAGCTATTCTGACCCAGATACTTTTAGAACAGACTACTTAGAATAACAAACCTTTATACTACTTTATATCAGTTTTAATGGGAATATAAGGAGTAAAAAACAGCTTATTTATTAGTGGTTTACATACCTGCCAGAATGGCAAAAATGACTGCAACTTGCAAGATAATACACTCAAGGACATTCCACACTCCTTTTTGGTGGTTAAAACAATGCAGATATAAAACAAAAAAG